GAACAAGTTTCTTCAAAGCCCTGGATTATCTATATAGTTGGCACTGCGCCATTTCAAGTTCAACAAAACGATCTTAAAGAAATCGTACACCAAGATTCGTGGTCCCATTGTAAAGAGAAATCTTCGATCTTCGATTCCACGCTACGCTCAATCTCCAAAAAAATTTCCCAAAAGGTTCTACAAACGTTTGAATTTCTATATCTAAGGAACGCATCTTCGGTCGTCCACCAATCGCCTCGTAAAAAGCATCCTAGAAGAAAATGAATGATGTCCAGCGAAAATAAAGACGTCAGGCTACGAAATGATTTGTGATTTATGCTCGTACCGTTTCTTTTTACGAAGTTGTACCAATGAACATGTCGAGACCCTCCACGAATAAATCACGGCATTGAGAGCACGAGACGATAGGACGCTGCTTCCGCCGACAGTTTCCCACTCCTCCGGTTAAAGACGATTGGTCGGGGACCGCTGGGCTGTCAGGTTAACATCGTCGAGAGCGAGCAAAGCGGGACTTACGACCGCGCCAAATTCGGCGGACGAATTTGCAATGTTCGCGACGGAACATGCGGACGATCGTTCGAAGATCAGGAATTTAGTGGCCGGCCGCTTTCCCGAGCGTTTGAGCTCGGACGAGGCGGTCGGCGGTAAGTCGACAGCGATTCCCTGGCTGTCCATTGTGCAAACTTGTTCGTGAAGAGGTCGTGACAGGTACCGTTATCGCGGCAACGGGACGCAACGCGACCCAACGGAGAGTGAAATCGTCAAGCTGTTGGCCGCGCGGAACGTCGGCGTCGCGTCGCGTCGCATCGCGTCGTCCCGAAACTTGCCTCGGCTCGCGTGGAATTCCACGGCGCGCGGGGCTAATCGTTAATTCAGCTGCGAGCTAATTAGTCGCCGTGCCGCGGAGCCGTGACAACAGGCAACGACAACGACAACGACAACGGCAACGGCAACGGCAACGGCAACGGGGACGGGACCACGGTCGACGTCGCCGATCCGTCCGCGTTCACGCACCCAGCGTGCACACACGCCGATTAATTTAGTGCCGGCCATTATCGCAGTTGCACATTCGCCGGCGTTGCAACGCGCCGCCTAGTCAACGCGGAAGATGAACGGTGCAGCTAGCGCCGTTATTACGCCACATCCATTCCGCTCGTATTTCCGCTTGGACGAGCCCGCGCTTCCAGACGATCCTTCTATCGAGACACGTCCGCCGGATCGCTCGCCTCGATCATCCTTGCCTTCGATCACTCATACGCTGCGCTGCTGCGAAATCCTATACGCGCTGTGCATCGGACTATGCGTTATCGGACGGTGCATCGCATCATCTTTATGATAATTTCTTCCTGCAACCATTCGACGATGCACCATCTCTGCAACAATTAGGACCTTTCGCACGGGTTTGACAACTGTTTAGCTCTCGTTGTTAGTTGTATAATTGTTAAAATGGTCCATAGTTCGAGGATCAACACCGTGGAAATTAGCACAAAAATAGATAATGAAAGAATCTTAGAAATGGCTCGTTACGAATTGAAGATTAACCTTTTGAGTCCCAAGCAGCGCGATCGCGCTGTTCAGATTTTGTGTCGCGTCAAACTTTAGCGATGCGCGTATATCGCATAGCCGCTTTTCTTTTCCTTTTTTTGCTTTTTGTTTCGTTTGTCAATTTCAATGAGCGCTATCGCACCGATTCTTTCTCTTCGCAATCAATTAAGACAAGCGCTATCACGCTGTTCGGCACTTTTCGACCGTGTTTTCTGAATAACCTTTGGGACTCAAACGATCAAATGCACGAGTCATGAAGCGAAATTAGCGCAAACATTTGCGCACGCGTTTCTTCGCTTCTTTTTTCGATTTCTCAATGAAAATTTGTTAAAACCTGCTCGGCCTTTGAAGGACGTAATCGTTAGCTGGAACTCATTTTTTCAAAATATCCAAGCATTGTCAATACACATCGCGCGGCTGGTTCGTTCCAACGATGCTTGTGAACGGCGGCGGCGGCGGATTTTGTTTTCGCTGGAGTTTATTTTGTCCGCGCGGGAAAGCCTGCAAATTGGAACGGCGCGGACAATAAAATATTTTCACTTCGCGGATAACGCGGCCAATAGGGAATCACAAATTGAAATTTCAATTACTGGAATCGGATTTCGTTGACGATGCTCATTTATCAACCGACCGTTCATTATAGATTTCCGATAATTTGCCGCAGCGAAAAATCGCATTTTTGTGCGTTTGCGTACGCCCGTCCCGTATTGTTTCGCGCGCATGAATTTTCAACAAACGCCGTGAACTTGATACTGAAAATTCTGGCATTAGGCTGGCGAACGTTGCGTATTGATCGACGGGAGGACGCCAAATTGAACGCGATACGTTTGGGAAAATTCTTATTATCGCGAATTTTTTTGCTGCGTCCATCTTCGCGAATTTCGGTTTCATCTGTGGTTGATGAAATTTCATCGCATAGTTGTTCAAAGAAGGAATTCTTCAATTTTGGTAATTTTAATAACGTCCTCAATCTCTTTGAAATAACCTTGACAATTTTGTATCTCATCTGTTCACTTTTGCGAAAAATGCGTCAAATCTTTAGTCTAAAAAACGGTGAAAAATATATTACATTGAGAGCACGAAAGGCAGAAAGAATGAATCAGGCTTAATTCCTTCCATTATAACGAGTGAAACTTGTAATGAAGGTCTCATGCATAATTCATCAAATATAAATGTTATTAATTTCATTTGAATGGGAAGTTTCCTCTGTTAGCAAAATCTTTGAACAAAAACAAATGGAGACATATGTACAAGAAACAAATATTATCTCGTTCAATCAGAGAAGAAAGATAAAAAGAAATCGTAGGAGTGCATGAATCGCAAGAGTTCTACATTCGTCAAGAACTGTCCAAAAGAATCTACGAATTAGAATTGTCCAAAAGAATCTACGAATTAGAACAATTCTAGCAGAGTCAACGAATTAGAAAATAAATTTCGTCCCGCAGAAATAATTTTCGATACCGCAAGCACAAATTCCAGCGGTTTCAGAGGATCGCTCTCGGCGCAGCCAAGTCCGGCCGCGCAAATACAACAAACCATTTATCGCCGTCGCTTACGTTATTATCTCCGGCAGGTATAATCGCGTCGTTATCAGACGCAGCCCCGTCTGACAAAGTCAGCGCGGCCGGTGGAAACGTTTTAAAGGGAAATTAACCCGGGGGGCTAAACGACTAACAAAGAAATTAATGCGCGTATCCCATTCGGCCGGCGGTAGGTGGGGTGCCCGGTGTTCGGGAGGGGTTGAAAACCGGGGGTAGCATCGGCTAACCCAATTAACCCCGGGCTAATTTGCCCTACGTGTTCTAGGCGGCGCTGTTTTGTGCGAGACACGGTCATCTTGATTATCCCGGCGCGTCTTTTTTCCGAGTGAGAGAGAGAGAGAGAGAGAGAGAGAGAGAGAGAGAAAGAAAGAAAGAAAGAGAGAGAGAAAGAAAGAAAGAAAGAGAGAGAGAACGAGAGAAAGAGAGAGAGAGAGAGAGAGAGAGAGAGAAAGAAAGAAAGAGTGAGAGAACGAGAGAGAGAGATAGATAGGGAGAGAGAGAGAGAGAGAGAGAGAGAGAAAGAAAGAGTGAGAGAACGAGAGAGATAGAGATAGATAGAGAGAGAGAGAGAGAGAGAGAGAGAGAGAGAGAGAGAGAGAGGGAGAGAGAGTTTCCGTCGGCGTCGGAGAAGGAAGTGCCGGAAAAGTCTGGGCGAAGTAAAAGGAAAACGGAGGTAGACACGTGTAGAGGGAAACGGGCGAGGGAGGAGCGGGAAAAAATAAAAGAGGAATTAAAAAGTGTCAGAGCCAGGGTTTCGCAATTTGCGCGGCTTATCTCGCGTCGCAGAAGCGCAGCCACCGGTGTCGGCCGATTCGGGTTATCGGGTGACATCGTTTGCTCGCCAGATTTATTTCGTGCCGCGCGAGATTACTTTACCGGGTCCCCACTCCGCCGCGTGCCTTCTATTTAATTTTGTTTTCCTCTGCCCTAAATCCCCCCGGTTTTATCTAACGAATATACCGGCGCGACACGCCGCGCCAAAACTTCCGAGGACCGTTTGAGGTCGCGGATGAACCAGATTTTCACGATTACGGTTTACAGAGACCGTTTCATCGAACACGCTTGTTTGACTACACTTTTCGCTGTTTACCTGCTCTTGAAATGCGCGTTCCAGTCTCGTCCCGACGCTTTCGTCACGGTTGTTCGGCTCGACAGGCGTTCGAAAATTCTATTCGCTGTTTTTATTCTATTCGCTGGCTGGGCGACGCCAGCGAGTATAGCAATTTCTCCCTAATTTTCCTTCAATTTGTAAACAGAAACGGTCAATTTGAGAAGAGGAGATGCGATTATTCGAGACTTGCATCTCGTTTTTATAATTGCGGGCAGTCGGCAACTATAAAAATCAGTCGCGAGGCTCGAATAATCGTATCTCTTCTTCCCAAATTACCCATTTTTGTTTAAAAATATTATAATATATTTATATTTATTTATTTATATTTATTTTCATATTTATGTTGTAAATATATTGTAATATAATATTATATAATATTATATTATTATTAAATATTATTTAAATATTCTTACGGAAAAAATTCTCTCAGAACGTTTATTTCAAAGGTCCCTATAAAATAAATAAACCACCGAATTATTATATGTTGAATTTATGTAACAATATAATAATTTTTCGTTTATTACCAGAACAACTACTTAATTCGATTGTAATATTATTCGTTAAATAATATTTAGCACTTCTAACAATGTTCGAGAACTTCCTTTTATGTTAATTAACGAAATACCGATTAATTCTAGCTTATGACAAACTTTCGAGAATATTTTCTAGCCCTGCCATAAACGTCTCGCATGCAATCGATCTAAGAAAACCCGCATGCGAAATAATTTACTGTACAAATCAACGAAAGCTTGGCCCAGATAATCGAGGTTCTATTGCAATCAAAATGATTAGCACGAGAAATACGTTTCCGTTAAGTTTCTGTTTTCAGCAAATGTTGCAAGAATGCCTATCGTATTCAATCATCGGCGCGGTCACGGTGTTCCCAGCCCGACGGAATGATTCGGAATCGGTGCACGTCCAGCGACACGACACCGTCCGATTTTATCGAGCAAGGGGGCAAGATGTCACGCGAGCCGTTTCGATTCGGGGCGAGGAAAATATAAAACCGGCCGTGGATCGGCGGATGGATATAGGTGCTCGGTGTTTCCACGGGTGCGGATATCATCGTGGGATCCGTCGCTTTCATATGCAAATGTAAGTGACCGCCGTGGCTGCGGCCGGCACAATTGAGCGCATTGAATTTACTGGCGTTTACCGTAATTTACTTTCGGCCCGGACCGGCGACACGATTTAAACGTTCCAACTGGCCCGCGGCCGCATTAAATTGCCATAAAGTTGTCGCTCCCTATTCTTCCCGGGTCGCCGTTACGTCGCGTGATACGCAATAACTGTTCCCGGGGATTTAGTGCGCCAATTCTGTCATCGACGCCAGGGTAACTTGTCTCTGCGCGGACGAGTCATCGAAGTCATCCGATCGCTAGACGGAATTCTGGTGACTTCGAGGTGCAGTGAACCGACTTGAACCGACTTGTATACATTGTGTCACCGTCGAATGGAATGTTTGTTAGTTAATGCGTTATTTAACACGATTTCGATGTTTCATTTGTTGCGAAAAGAACTTTGATTTTACCTGGTCAATTATGGTTACCTGGTTAATTAATCCAGTTTTGATTAAAATGAAAAAGTATGATTGAAGAAGTATTTACTTTTTATATTATTTTTATGATTATATATTATATGATATTACATTATATCATATAATATAATATCATATATATGATATATATGATATTATATGAGTATATCATATATATGATATATATGATATTATATGAGTATAATCATATATATGATATTACACTCATATCATATATCATATAGAGACCATGGTGTATCAAGTTTTTCATAAACACCATAAATTCAGCAGCATTGGTCCTTTGATGTCAGATTAATGTAATAGAAAATGATCAACCTGATAAAAAGATAAACAGTCGATCTTGTAAATTCTTTTTTTAATACTGAAAACCTAAAGAAAAGTCAAGTTGTCGCGGGGAATGGCTGTAACATAAACTGTGTTCAGATAGGACTTGAATCTCTAATGAAATCTTTCTGACCAATAAACATTCGGAGAGTTCCAACAATATCGATCGAACGAAGAAATTTATTTTCTATAATGTTTGTATTCGTCGATGTTTGATTCGTCCGCGCGTTGAATTCTTATGGCGTGTTATCGCTACGATATTTGAATTCGGGTCGGTAGCATGAAAAGGATCGATCGAACGACTGCGAGAATTATGATTCAGATTTCCCTAATTTAACCGATTTTGCCCCGGCCCGTCGGACATGATCGAACGATTTCCAGAGCGCTTCCGCCCGACGCGAATAAAGTGCTGATGTAAAAGGCACACGCGACAAAGACGTAACGGCGTCCGATTTCGTGCCGAGGGTGACCCACATTTAGTGAGAGCGCAAGAAAACACCTGAGCAAAGGTGCCCTTTAATTCACAGGCTCGTAAAAAGAGCCGCTGTCACGGAGCGTCGTGATTACGTCGCGCGGAGGCCTTCGTTAATTGAAATTCATTGTTTGACGACTCGTTAGGAGCTGTCTGATAATCGTCCGTTTCTTCCTGCTACTTCTGGAGCCGAGATTTTCGCCTTTGCACGGTTCACTTCGCGTCCCCGCGCGAAATTCTAATTTCACGTTGAAGCTTGGTCAAAAATTGAATCCTGTAATGCACTCTGCCACCGTAGCCCCTTTCTTTTGGACATTTTAATTGCTTTAATTGTGACTATTCATACCGGGCTTATTCTTCACCCCTTGCTATACGACGTTCTTTATGGCCGCAATAATTATGACTGTCTTTAATAATTTCTTGAAAGATAAAAATAAATTTATATTTGTTGCATGTTTACGGTCTCTTCGGTGCTTAAATATTGATAAGAAAAGAATTAAATCGTTAGATCCAGACTTTATTCGAGTCAGTTAATCAGGAAATCTAGATGTTCAGCTACAATAACACTATTTTGTTACTTTTTTAGTTTTTGCTAGTATTGTTTGAATTAAAATTTTTTTTTAGAATTTTGAACTACAATTTAGTGGACTGAAAATATGCATTTATGACAAACGCAACGCAACATGGAGGCAGGTCAAAGTTTCAAAAGAGGTGTCAAATAAAAATGTCTATTCTCCTGCGACTATTTTAATAAATCGTACCCGGTGCATCAATGTTTCTGTATTCTGTCAATTTTGCACAACGATTCGCAGTCTACGAACTAGACGTTTTCAGAATAGAAGCAACAGTCTGCCGATTTATTCGCCACCGGACCGGCGATGATAGTTCGTCTGGCGATGACACAACTCCGGCATTAATCTCGCGATCTCGAATAAGTATTTCCATCTGGCGGAGCAGCGGCGCTGTTTTATTAAATTTTAATACTCCGACGACTTGGGGATCTCATGAATGAGCCTCCCGTAAACCGTTTCTTCCTGCCGCGGAAATGCAATTTTCTTCACGGGCACAAAGAGCACGGCAACTTGTTATTTCAAAATTGCTACCACTTCATTGTGACGGGAGCAGACGACGTTCCCGCGGGCTGCTCGCGAATAGCCCGAAGAAAGTAAATTGTTCTTTCGAAAGCGCGCCGTCTAACGATCGTCATTTTAGATGCTTCCGAATGGCCGAAGTGTGTCCCGCAATTTTTGCAATCGGGTTACGAGAGTGGATCGAACGAGGAAACGGTGAACCAAATGAGGGGCATCGTCTTCGTGTAATTGCGCTGTTACATTATTATTTCGTTATATGTAATAGTTGTTGGTCGTATGTAATCATTTAGTCATGATAATAATTAGTAGACCGCGGATGTTCGTGCATTTATCGCACGCGCAGTTGTTTGAAATGCGAGAAAACGCGTGAACTAACGAGGTCTGAATACCATTTTTATTTCCTTTTCAAAGTCAGTAATTTTTTCATTCACGAATAAAACTCTTTTTTAATTCTGGTTTCTATAAAATGACGTATGAAAAATGAGAATTTGCATATAGATACGCAGGTCTAGCAATTATTATTTGAAAATCCATCTGTTAATCGACACTGGCAAGGATGAATTTTATAAACAAAAATAAGTGACTGTTATTTAGACATTTGGAAATATTTCGTAGCAGAAAAATTACTTCAAGCTGCATATATGTATAAAAATTACTGCATGCTGAAAAAATTACTGCAACCTGCATAATATATATTATAACATAATTATATATTAATATATAATTATATAATAATATATATTATGCAGGTTGCAGTAATTTTTATATATTTTTTTATAATATATATATTATAATATTATATATATAATAATATATTATTTTATAATGTATTAATATATATATTATTATATATTAATATATAATTATATAATAATATATATTATGCAGGTTGCAGTAATTTTTATATATTTTTTTATAATATATATATTATAATATTATATATATAATAATATATTATTTTATAATGTATTAATATATATATTATTATATATTAATATATAATTATATAATAATATATATTATGCAGGTTGCAGTAATTTTTATATATTTTTTTATAATATATATATTATAATATTATATATATAATAATATATTATTTTATAATGTATTAATATATATATTATTATATATTAATATATAATTATATAATAATATATATTATGCAGGTTGCAGTAATTTTTATATATTTTTTTATAATATATATATTATAATATTATATATATAATAATATATTATTTTATAATGTATTAATATATATATTATTATATATTAATATATAATTATATAATAATATATATTAT